TGTGTGTGTGTGTGTGTGTGTGTGTGTGTGTGTGTGTGTGTGTGTGTGTGTGTTTGACGCCAGAATTTGGGATTCCAAAGGCGTTGGGCAAATAATATTTGCATGGCAGCATATCGAAGCTGAACTGTTATTAGATAAAAAAAAAAAATGAACCCACAAATGACTGGAAGCTGCACGTCCATGACACACGTGTGAAATGAAGACAAATGACTGTTGGAAATGAATTATTACCATTTTGTGTGTGTTGTCAATGTAGGTTTGACTTTCTGATAAGGTTTGGGCTAGCAGAGAAGGCCTTACAGGCAGGCCACTGTCAAAATGATGGTTAAGTGACGTGGTCCTCCACAGTATAACAGCGACGTCAGCGGATTTGCAAAGTGGAATCATCAGCAAAGCAAACAGATCAATTCCGAGGAATCAAATTATTTGGAGCCGGTTCTCAAATAGGACCAGTTTTCGATTCCCGTCCCCACCTGCGACTGCCAAATCCCTGTGAAGTGTTGCAGAAGCATCTTCCGCTAACTGAATATCCGTTGCAGTGCAGTCTAATAGGATTATCTGCTGCATTCTGTCTATGGATTTGTATAGTTTTGCAGCACATTATTAGGGAGCGGGAGGGAGTTTTGGAGTACGGACACCTGAGATTTTGATCTCCCTCCGGCTGACTCTAATCCTTCCTCAGCGTCCCACGTGTCCGTTCCTCACCCTCTCGCCACGGCCCTTAATTGAGTGAGGCATCAGTTGACTGCCTCGATCACTGTTCGAGAGGTTGAACTCCCTTCCCGGGAGGGGAGATCATTGTCTCCGCTGGTTGACTAGTGTAATCCCCGCTGTGCCACCAACAGGGACCACGGGGCACTACCCTCACTAGCTTAAGCCACCCTCACAGGGCATTAGCCCCCCTGGTGAAGCTCATGCCGAACATTTTTTTAGGAATAGACTTTCAGTGGTGATTTGGGCTCAGGCAGTATTGTCTGTACTCAAGAAGGCATTTTGAGGGATGTTGGATTTGTAGGTGCGAGTAAAGAAAAGAATGGGATCGTGAAATTGCATGAATGGTGATACCTTTCACATGAAATTTTAAAAGGCTGAGGAGCTTAGCTCTCACATGAGCCAGCGACCAAAACTAGTTGAGCGACGTAGGGGTACAGTGTATTGTCACTTCATTAATCGTACAGGCATCGATGTGGCACATTGATCGATGGCTATCATGATGACTTTGTGCAAAGAGACTGAAATGATCTTTGTGAAGTGTTTAACACTTTCATGCACCCTGTAACCTGATAACATGATAAACTGTCCGCTGCAGTAACCGCCGTCCCTCAAAGGGTTGAATTCCAGAGCGCTATTTCTTCTGTCCAGTCGACTTATTAGAGCAGTGGTTCTTAACCTGGGTTTGATCGAACCCCAGGGGTTCGGTGAGTCAGTTTGAGGGGTTCGACGGAGCCTCTGCCATGGAGGGTAAGACACACGCGACTCAACATGTTAATTAGTTATGACACGCTCTCTTGGCCATCACTGGCTGCAGATGATCACATGACATTGCTTGTCCAATCAGTGCTGTGGGAAATTCAGTTCGCTTAGTAGTCAACGTGTGACTGTCACGATAGTACGTCGTAAAATTTAAAAAAAAAAAAAAAAGTATACTTATCCCTGAAAATTTTATTCACTTTTTTCTGTTTTAATAAATGCGTTTTTTAATGTCTTGAATTTGTAATATATATATATATATATATATGTATGTGCATATTAACTGGTTGGGTTCGGTACCTCTAAAAAGGTTAAGAACCACTGCGTTAGAGGCATATTTGTTGCAAATATTTGTACACTTATATGCCCCCGCTTGCCTTTTCAACGACAGTTATTTGAACTGTAATCCTCAAGGGATCATTCTCACTTTGGGTGTGAAAGGTCCTGGGTTCAAATCTCGGATGAGCCCTTTAATTGTAGGGCCTGTGTAGAGGACTCATGAGATTCAATATCAACAGAAAAACAGCAATAAAACGAATAGGCTGAAATGCGATTCCTCTGTCGTGATTTCGATCTCTGTCCTTTGTGCCTCCGTCTTACTTAACAAATACGTGGCAAATTCTAAAGTACTGCCTTCTCTACTTTTGCCTTTTGCGCAATAGTACGACTCATTGGTCAAGTAATCTGAGCTTTAGCGGTGCTGAGTCCTGGGTTCAACTCCCTGAAGACGCCCGACGTTTCAGGACACTGTTTACTTGGCGCAGCTCATAGTTAGATTTCTATCTGGTCAACTTTCGCGGGATAAGCGGTAGACTTGGCTTGTGGCGAGATTCCACGGGTTAGGCAACTCTGGTCCTAGAGAGCCGCAGTCCTTCTTGTTTTCGACATTTTCCTCTTCCAACAGACCTGATTCAAATGACCAGCTCATCAGCAGGCTCTGTAAAAGCCTGATAACGTTCCTGATCATTTGAATCAGATGTGTTGGAAAAGAAAACTTGATGGAACGTGTCCATGTCACCTTATAGACTGATGCAAGGTTCCTTAAACCCCATCCAGAGCCTTCTGACTGCAATTGGCACACAAGTCTTGTTGTGAGTTTGTGGTCTAAGGGTGTGGTTCCACCATAAGGTGAGTGGTCCTGAATATTATCTGAGCCCTGAAATTGTAGTGGGTCAGCAACTTGGCTCGTACATACATTCAAGGCTTGGTATGGATCATGAAAAAGCAAAACCGGTATTTCTAGTAACAGGGTTGTTGTTCTTCATGCTTTGTCAAACTTTTGAGCACATTCTGAATTCGACGCGAAAGGTTTATTTAAATCCAACATAGCACCATCGCTACAATTATAATTCAAGCATGATTACTCTTTGCTGATCCTTGGGGTAGAATTCTCATTTTGAGGGCAAGAATGGATTAAAATTGTTGAGCAGTCCTCATTTAAAGGGACTGCAATAGTAGAGAAGACGTAGATTGAGTTGAGACTTGGTGTAGATTCCAAAAATAAATAAATGCAGTGAATTTTGTGGAGAAAATACTCCAAGAGTCTCAAGAGAACAAGCCATGAATACTCTGTTTTATTCTAGCATTTATCTGGACCCAATGGCATATTATTGTAAGAAAATAGATGCGTCACCCAAAATGTATGTACCTCTCCTACAAATCAGTGTCTCACTTTTTGACCCGAATCCTAGACTCAATACTCAGAAGAACATGCAAGTCCAATGCCAAGGGTCAGCACCAAAAGGCCCATTGACCCCATTTCCCCCGTTGTCCTCTCAGCTTCAACACTGACAAACTATCCATTTGCGTTTCACCTCTCAAAGCTCCCTCCCTCCCTCAATCCATCCATCCACCCATCCATCCGTCCGTCCATCCTTCCATCCATCCCGCCCGCAAGGCCACAATGCGTCGGCTGTGTCCCGCGGTGGCCACAAAGCAAGCCCTGAACTAACAATATCACCAAGGCTTGCCTGGAAGCCGCCCAGGTCCATTGTGTTCGGTCAGAGGGGAGTTAACACCCATGTCTGAGCCCAATGAATAGCATTATTGTGTCTGAGACAAGCAGCGCACCCCCTTGTCCCACATCCGTGCCCCCTCGAATCCTGCCCCCCCCCACCCCCCCATTCTTAGACTTGCCTCTCGTACTCGGCCACTCTTGCAACTTCCACCCTTCTGTACTCCAGTGGAAGACTGTTTAGGTTTTTTTGTTGTTGTTGTTTGAGCGCAGAGAAGGCGCTCCATTTTGGACATTTGGTTGCTGTAATGTGGTGAGATAGAGAGGGGGCTGAATTTGGCATTGGCTCTTTCTCACACAATGGAAGTATGAATCCTTTAAGAAATCACCCCCCCCCCCCCAAACTGCTATTATCATAAGAGAGTTTCCTGGAGGCATTTGAATGATTTGAGATGACACAAAAGCTACAAAGTGATTCTTTGACCACTTTAGAGCAGCACTGGTGCAGTCCAAATATTTCCGTTCCGTCACGCGCTCTTTGGCATCAACACAATCTACTTCTTTAGCTTGGAAATTTTTTTTCAACATGTAAATTGGGTCCTTTTGAATCATTGGCAGTTCTATGTCCAATTTAAAAAATATAATTAGGAAGCTGGGCGGCCCGTTGGTCCAGTGGTTAGCGCGTCGACCTCACAGTACGGGTTCAATTCCGCCTCCGGCCTCCCTGTGTGGAGTTTGCATGTTCTCCCCGTGCCTCCATGGGTTTTCTCCGGGTACTCCAGTTTCCTCCCAATTTCCAAAAACATGCATGGCAGGCTGATTGAACACTCTAAGTTGTCCCTCAGTGTGAGCGAGGATGGTTGTTTGTCTCTTTGTGCCCTGCAATTGGCTGGCAACCGGTTCAGGGTGTCCCCGACCTACTGCCCGAAGACAGCTGGGATAGGCTCCAGCACCCTCCGCGACCCTTGTGAGGTTGAAGCGGCTCATGAATTTAGTTGAATGATCATATCCGGCTGTCCAGTGTGTAGTTTGCATGTTGTGCTCGTGTGTGTGTGGGTTTTGACTTGTACTCGTAACTGCAAGGTGCCATATGATTGATATTCTGATTGGGAGGGAGTAAGATGGCAGCACTACTGATTCTGAAGGTCATGGGGGAGATTAGAGTGACATGGCAACACATACAAACTGATGTTGTATCAGGAATCCACATACATGCACTGCTAGCAGTGCAGCGAAGACAAACTCTACAAAATGAAGAAACAGTTGTGAATCAATTAATACAATTTTATGGAACAAATTTTAGCAATTGGGTTGTAAATATCGGTCAATGCTTCAGGTCGTGTTTCGGCCGGTGGAGAAGGCCTCGTTGTCCCTGATGGCTCACCACCGGTATCTAAAAACCGCGAGTGTCTTAAGTGTCAGACCTCCAATCCTAACGGTCTTTGCTCTTTGAGATGAGCCGGTTCATGCTGCTCGCCGGGAGATGATACCAGAATAATCACCCCTGAACTCTTACTCAACTCCAGCAAAACTTACCATTAACCATTTTTTTTCTCCTTGTGTTTGTGTCCTGCAGAGAGATGAGGCAAAAGATGAAAAGGAAGAAGAGGAGGATTGGGAGTGTGGGTGGAAGGAGGGATGGATGGAAGACTTTGCAGGAAGCGGCTGAACCCGGAGCAGGTGAACACAGCTGTGGATCTCCATGACGGGCCTCGCTGGCTGCCTTCCTCGCACGGGCCCCCCGGCGTTTGCGTTCAGGGGTCCCGGCAAGCTGACAGAGGCCAGGCAGAGTGGGCAGGCGAGGGCGGGCCCGAGCCAGGAGAGATGCAGGTGAGGCAGGCGAGCCGAGGCGCCCGTCGCCGCCGGCTAGGAGCCTCCGCGCTGTCAAATCAATACAGAGGCTAGCAGAGGTTGGCCAGAACCGCCTGCGGGCCCCTTGGAGCCCTGGGACCGACCGCCAGTTCCCACCTCCATCTTTTTTTTTTCCAGCTTCCTCCAACAGTCCTGGGCCAGAGCCCTCACCCTTGCACCCGCCCCACACATGGATGGATGTTTCGGTGTGGGCTCGGCCCGCAGGGATTTTTTTTGCCGCTCAATAAACATTTTGCCACTGAGAGGCGGGGACGCCAGAGCGGAAAAGAAGAAGCCAATATGTGGGAAAAAGCAAGAGTTTCTTCTTGATTCTGTTAGGATTCACAGGGGTGGG